CTATCTGACTAAAGGTTTACTTTAAGACCTCAACAGAGCCAGAAACCCAATCCTCCTTGATTTCTCTCTTTATTCCTACCTCATATTATCTTTAAAATCTCATACATATGTTGCTCTTTTCTGCCCCTTCCACTGATCTAGTTAGTTTTCTAAAGGAATTGGTTTTTTTTTTTTTTTTTTTTGGTCTTATACACTGGGATCTCTTTCAAACAATTGTGAGGTCTGACAAAAATTTTTTAAAAATGTGATCCAGACACTTGCTATTTAAAATCTTCTGAGATTCTCCAGCTTCTACAGAGTAAGAGTCTAAGCCCTTGCTCTCACCTTTTAAGCTTGACTACTGAGCTTAACTTCTCTAATCCAGTGGTTCTCAACCTTTAGGGGGTCAAACAACCTTTCACAGGGGTCTCTTATTAGAGATTCTGCATATCAGATACTTACATTATGATTCTTAACAGTAGCAAAATTACAGCTTTGATGTAACAATTTAATAATTTTATGCTTGGTAGTCACCACAACATGAGGACCTGTATTGAAAGGAGGCAGCCCTAGGAAGGCTGAGAACCACTGCAATCCTTTCCAGGGTCAGCCTAGTTAGATTCTCCTATCTTCCACAGCATCCTCTAACAATTTCCCTTACTACTACTCCATCTTATGTTCTTTGAGCCAAGTGAGGTCATAGACAGTATTTTAATCATCTTTAAGTCCAGAAACCAGTACCAAGCGAACATGTAGAAAACTTAAGTGAAAGAATGAATGAGTGGAGTAAACAAGGCATACATTCAAACTTAGCAAAATTTTCAGCCCCATGGCAACTGCTTGATTATCATTGTTGCTATGTAGCACAATTCTCTTTGGTCTTAATAATAATTTTTAGTCTTATTTTATGATCTCTCACTGAACTTGGAACTGTTTTCTGATTAACAAGTCCCCAAGATACACCTGTGTCCATATTGCCCCCCCATGTCCCCTAGGAGTTTCAGGCACACACTGACACACCCTTTCTCAGGAGTGGTGGTGATCTGAACTCTGGTCCTCATGCTTGTATAGCAAGCACTTTAGTGGCAAGCACTTAGTGGTAAGCCAACTTCTCAGCACCTCTATAATCCCTAACAGGCCTTTGTCCTTGTAAGCAAACATTTGCTATAACATTTGTTCAGACTTAAAGAATACAAGGTCAATGAGACAGCTCAGTGAATAGTTGTCCTGCTAATAACCTAAACTTGATCCCCCAGGTCCCACAAGATGGAAAGAGAAACAACTTTGGAAGTTGTCCTCTGACCTCCACACATACATGTACACAACACACAATCACACACAAACCTGCATGCACACACATACATTTTTAAAAAGTATTAAGAAAAAAAATACAAAAATTGTAATCAATTATATTTAGTAAGGGTTAAAAACGGGGGCCTGGGGCAGCAATTCAAAGAGCCTAATGCTCTCCCAGGACCTGAGTTTGATTCCTAGCACCCACACCAGGTGGCTCACAACTGCCAGTAACTCCAGCTCCAGGGACTCCAATGTCCTCTTCTAGACACCAGGGCACATTCAGGCAGGCACACATACCCGTCTACCGACCCGACCTCGGCCCACACACACACACACACACGTAAAAACATTATCCACTTAAGAGATTCTAAAGATGCTCCAATTAAAAGGTGCCCTTCAGTATTCCATTACTTCCTCAGGCTCCCAAGTTCCAATTCTCTGGCATGTACCCTGAGCATTTTAAGTCAGGCATATCAAGGAGTCCCAACTTTTCTGAAGCACTGTATCATTTCATTTATTTGCTCCTTAATGGGCAGTGCTTTTGAGCACAACTGTTTTAGAAATGTGAAATTATTCTCACACAAATGGAAAGGGGTAGTAAGAATAAGACAAAAATCACAAAATTTGGAGTCAGCAAAAATTAAGTTTTTTCTTTAAGTTTTTAAAAATTATTTTAAAAGTGTTTTGCCTACATGCATGTTGTGTTCCTGATGCCCGAAAAGTTAAGACAAGGGCATCAGATTCCTTGGAACTGTAGTTATGGATGGTTATGAGCCACCATGTGGGTGTTAAGACTTAAACCCAGGTCCTCTGCAAGCTCAACACATGCTCTTAACAGCTGAGCCATCTCTTCAGCCCCACAAAATTTTCAATCCTGTCTGACTTGTGATTGAGAAAATCTAACCTTCAGGTGCCCCACTTTCCAAATCTACTTGTGTCTCTGTAAAGTATCCTAATAGTGACAGAGCACATGTGTGTATTATGTGTGTCCTACATGCGCTCATGTCTATAATCTGTAATAGAAACATTTAGGTTAACTGAACTCACATATTCATTAAATTTTAATATTCATTAAAATAAAGTTATTATAAGTAAGTCTAAACCTGTCACTTTAAAAATCAACTATCTCTGAAATAAGAGGGCCATCCCTGCATGTTTCAATAACAGATGTGAGATTATTAAATAAAAAGCAAGGTGGCTCAGTGGCTGAATCTAGGACCCACATGATAGAGAGAATCTACTCCTACAAGTTGTCCTCTGAGCCCCGGCACGCTTCCCTGCCTCACACACACACACACACACACACACACACACACACACAGTGAAAAGAAAAAAACTTAACATACACTATTCTATACACACAGTAACTCTTCTGCAATTCCATTTATTTTATCTAGGTTATCTGTCATTATTAACATGGGACCTTTAGATCACTAAAGAAACTGTTTCCATAATCAGCAATTCCAATTTAGAAAACATTTAAACACAGAATTTGTTCAGAGGAAAGGAAATCAATATCATCATTCTGGAAAAACAAGTATGGTTAATCTTTTAAAATTCTGTAATACAGGAAAATGTCAATCAAATAGTAATTTGTGTTAAAAAAAATCAAGGCAGCACAATGATACATAAAACATCTATTCTTGTTTGTGACTTGTAAGTTTTATTATTCAGTACCTACAACATTTCCTTTTTGCTGCTGAGTCAAAGTTGCCCAGTATATTTGGTTTCCTCTCAAAAGACACACAGGAAAAATAGTTACAACAGAAAACATAGACTTTAAAATAACAAGACTAGATGAGGGTCTGGAAAAAGAGACACTGCCTTTGTAACATGGGGAAAGTGAGAAACAAAGAGATAAAAACAGGGTGAAAAGGATGACAGCAACAAATCTGCTCTTCCAGTATTAAGGGTTTATGTTTATAAAACAGTGATGCTTCCAGAAAGTGAATCTCTAGTGTTACACAACAGAAAGTAATAAAAAGGCCAACAGGAAAAAATAATTGCGACAACAGTATCATAATAGTCAAACCCCAACCACATGAGCATACACTTGTCCCTGGTCCAGATGATTAATTTTACATAAAAGAAGTAAATACAACTAATCAAGGCACGTTACAATGTTAAACAAGCCATAATCGTGAGTCTTAGGCTACCATGGAAATTTCCTTAGGGACTACGCAGCCCAACTCCCACATCACTCAGAAGAAACTGAGGCCCTCTCTTGTAACATACCTAATATTACCAGTGAGTACCAGGGCTCAGAAAGCTACTATTCTTTGTTTACCAATCTCCCCCTAAATACAGTCTCTGCTTTTATAAAGCGCTTTATTTACCATAAACCACAATTTTAAAATGATAAAGTTTGTCAGATCTACCAAAAGCAGCCTAGCAGCCAAAACAGAAGTAAACACTTCATAACATAGCACTCACTGTTCACACAAACTCAAAAACAAAATTAAGTAATAATCCAGAAAGAAATCAACAAAATGTCCTAAATAAAAGAAAAAAAAAAAACCTTCAGTATTTTGAAATTTTCAACCACTTAGATCAAGGAACATGATGTTTGAAATAGTAAGCACTTCTTTGGACCTATGGCAAGAATAAAAGGGAATGTTCGACAAGGCCTATCTTTGTGTAGACTCTTTACAGCCAAATCATTTAGCAGATTTCTGTTGCCATACTCGTTTCCAATTAAATAGTAGCTGATTTATCAAGATTCTTATCAAACCCCAGTTCTGAATTCTTTCAGAATCTTAATCGCAAGGTTGTTTATACCCTCCTCCATGCTTGTCACTAGGATCTGAAGACCCTTCCTTCAGAGCCAATCAAAAAGAACCTGCTTAGACTGTAAAAGCTCCTGCTTTAGATTTAGGGCCTGAAACACAGACCGTACTTCCAAAATGACACCATCGTTGCATTTTATTTTTACCCCCTCCACACAGGTAAACTTGACGAATGCCATTAATCTAAGCTACAATTCAAAACCCCCCTACTGCCATTTATAATGATTTTTCTATTCAACCGATCTGCTTAAAGCTTTGTTTTACCCTAGGAAAAGTGGGGGTGGGAGGGAGCAGAAGCCTAAGGTGGTTGGTTAGTTCGCTAACTGCAGGTGCAAAATATAAGCCAATTTTCTTCAAAATGCTAAACAACACGTTTTAAACCCTTGTTTTCAACAAAACTTCATGTAACATCAACCCGGAAACACAGGGCATTTCCCATCCGGAGGGGCGGGTTTCTGCTTCCCCGAAGAAAACAGGGAATCCGGAGGTTCCCCGCTCGCCCTGCCTGCCGGCGGCTTTCCATAAGGTGCGAGGATGGCCAACTTGGGCCCCTTGTCCTTTTGTCCCCCTAGACAATCTCTGGCCTAATTTGGGACAAATCCTCCACTGATCACGCCTCCCTCCCCCTCCTGTGTATCTCTGCGCTCCCTTAATTAGAAACTGTACCTCGGAATCGTGCCTCTCACCCCCGCTGCGTAAGAGGAGACCGCCTGACCCTCCACCTGGAGAACAATGTAATCCAACTCCGGCCCATAGATTGATCTCGGGGAAATCAGAAGGTGCGATGGTGTCCCGTCACCCCGGATTCCCTCAAAGCGTCCAGCTCCCGGCCTAGCGAGCCCACCCCTTCCCACCTGGGGGGGACCCACTCTCACCTTCCCTCACCCAGAGCCTCGCCCCGCACCGCCGGATCTCTCCGCGGGACCCCGCGCCCCGTACCTTTGTAGTGCACCCGCAGGTTGTTCTGCGAGAGGCCGATGTAGCTGAACTTGTCCTTCGGGCTCCAGGACC